TGATTGCCTATTTTAAAAGCACCCAAATAGAGACTGATTGCTGTTATGGAACAAAGAAGAGTATTCATAGAAATAACCTTCGTTCTCAGCATTATGGGTGGCAGCAGTGGTGAAAAGTCATATACCAACTGTGAAAGTCAGTCTCGAGGGCACCCCAGTCATGGGCACTGAACGATTCGCTCACTCGCTTGTTCATCGTTTAACCACTTAACCTATCAGCCATTCAACTCTGCCTCCTTTTCCAGACATAGCTATTTGACATTTCCGGGCAAAACACATCTTCTTTTGCTTGCTATTCATTAGTGTCTATCAAAATATACTTTTTTATATTAAAAAATAAGAATGTGCTGAGATAGAATACCAGAAACAGGCTGTTTTTTCTCAGTAATGGACAAATGGCATCAATGGCACTTTCCGGGGGTGAAGTCCATGTCTTTTGGGAGCTAAATGATTCATCTGACAAGATAATGAATTGGTTGCTTTCTTCAGGGAAGATTTGCAAAGCATTTCTTTTCACTGGATAGACAATTTAGAAAATGTTGTGAAAGGATATAAAAAGAAAGAATAGAGCAAGCAAGCTGGTTTAATACAAATGGATTCCAGTCAGAAATGTGGACGTGTAATACTTGGATATCTTGAAAAAAATCTCCTGGGCTGACATATATTTGAGATAAGTATTGTTACTGTGGCTAGAAAATTAGTTTAGGTTCTATTTAGAATCTTATTGAGGGTTGGATGACAAAAAAAAATTACAGAAGTGACTTTTGTTTTATGAAATTCACATCTTCATAATAATAAAATTTACTCACCTCTTCTTTTCGTGTATATATAAATAGCTAAATGGATGTAATATGTGAATTTGGCTTAAATATATATCCATGCTCTTTTATTCTTACAAAACAATATTGAGACAAGGGAACATTTTATAAACAGGATACCCAACTTTGTAAATCGTTAACGTTAGCATTTCTGTTCTGTGGCAAGATGAAGGTCATTGTTAAGGATGCCCAAGGGTACAGAGACTATATTAAAGAGTTTTGGGTAAGCCTGGGCTGGGTGACGTCCTGGTCAGTTCAGGCTACTATAACAAAGTACTCATGGACTGGGTGGAATATAAACAACAAAAATTTATTTCTCAAGTTCTGGAGGTTAGAAGCCCTAGGGCAGTGTGCCAGCATATTCGGGTTCTGGCGAGAGCCCTCTTCTGGTGTGCAGGCTTCTCGTTGGATCCTCACAGGGTAAAAAGAGGGCAAGAGAGCTCTCCAGGGTCCCTTTTAGGAGGAACTAGTCCCATTCATGAGGGGTCCATGCTCATGAACTAATCGCCTTCCAAAGCCCCAACTCCTAATACCATCACATTGGGGTGTAGGGCTCCCCCATACCAATTTTGAGGACACGCAAACATTCAGCACATTGCAGGTGAGGTGGGAGGACTGTGTGAAACGGTGAGAAGAGACTGCATTTTAGCCTCAGAAAAACCAGGACTCGTACAGTTTCAACTCCCTTCTGTGTGTGATGGAGATGGTGTGATGGCTAATTTTATGTGTTGACTTGACTGGGCCATGGGGTGCCCAGGTATTTGAGTGAACATTACTCTGGGTGTGTCTGTGACGGTGTTTTGGGCGAGATTAACATCTGAATCTGTAGTCTGAGAACCGCACATTGCCCTCCCTGATGTGAGTGGTCCTCATCTAATCAGTTGAAGGCCTGCATAGAATGCCAAGGCTGACCCTCCTGCGATTTAAGAGGGAACTCTTCCTGCCTGGCTGTTTGATCTGGGACATGGTCTTTCCTTGATTTTGGACTTAAACTGAAGCATCAGCTCTTCTTGGGTCTCCAGCCTGCCAGCTTTCAGACTGGAACTATGCCATCAGTTCTCCTCGTTCTGCAGCCACCAGACTCAGACTGGACGTACACCATTGGCTCTCCTGGGGTCTCCAGTTCACCAACTGGAGATCTTGGAACTTCTCAGTCTACAGAATCATGTGAGCCAATTTATTATAATAAATCTCTTTATGTGTGTATATATATATGTATAGATATATATACACACAAACACACACAATCTTTCTCCAAATTCAAAAACTTGAGGTGAGAATCAGTCACTCATACAGTATCTATATTTAGTGCCTGCAGTCAATCAAATCCTTCATGTTTTCCGAGGAGAAAGAGCTTTTAAAACCTGACCTTGCCTGAGGTTAAAGTAGTTGATTTTTAATAACTGCAAACACCAAAATGACCTTTACTCATTGAGAGCATTGCAAAGTAACACTCTCAGTAGGAAGTTATTTTATCTTTGATACTTTCTGGTGATGTATAAAAACTCTGTGCTCTGGGATTCTAAATGTGGTACTACCGAGGCCCACGAAATCAGAACAGGAAGGCTTGGTGAGTCCCACGTGGTACTGGAACATTCGGATTCCCAGTAATATTAGTTAAAAGTGACACTAGACTTCCAGTGGCCCTTTTAAGTTCCTCCGTCAATGCAGCTGGTTCTCACTCAATCCTGAAGAAAAGTGTGACCAGCCGTCTCAAAACAAAGCAAGAGCTTTAAGCCAACTTGGATCAACTAGCTTGTCAATAGTTCTCAAGCCATTTTGCTGCCTGTATGGCAGAAAGAATAATTAATTATTTCGGAAAATAATCAATTCCCGAGTACAAGAGACTGAACTAGGACTGGTGTGACTGGAGCAGAGAGATGGGAAGGTAGGGGAGGGTTGTGTGTTGGGAGAGGACAGAGTAAAACTAGGTGGGAGAGACCCGGCACGGCGTTATAGCTCACACCAAGGAGTTTGTGTCTTTGAGATATGCTGATTGATACATTTTTGGGATAACTGAAAGGTGTCCAATTTCATATTTCGGAAGAATAAAAGTCCTATACTAGGAGTGGATATGAGTTGAGAGGAATACATCCGTAAGAATGTGAGTTATGGCTTCCCTGTCAGCCCTTTAAAGACCCACCTTTCACCACTGGTTATTACAAGAAATTAAATATACTAAAATAAGTGCTAGAAAGAGAGATTAGTTGAGAAGATTAAGCTGTTGACCGCAGGTGAGTGTGTTGGTGGGAGGGAGGAAAGTTCTGCTCAGGAATTGCAGTCTTCCGCAGTCTAATCTTGGCTGAGCTGACCCTATTACCATAGGCGGGCTAATTAACCTCTTTGTGCCTTGGCTGCTTATCTGCAGAGTGAAGATAACAATGACCCACTACGACTGCAAATCATTCTGCAAACACCAACACTTATAGAAACGGTATAAATATTTACGTACCCCAGTTGTAAGAGTCTGGTCTTTACCTAACAGTTTAAACCTCTCCTCTGCCTAAATAATATGTCAGGTTTAATTTTCGTCATACAGCATTTTTTGTGTGTGTGATAGAGTGAGTTTTTATTTTCGTATACAGCCAGATTCGTGCTTATTGAAAACGAGCTCTCTCTTTCTGATGCCTGTTGTTCGGTCTACAATACTCTGGGTCCTAGATTATGATGATAACTTCTACCAGCACCATGTGGTTTAACACAGCAGAGAGCTGTTGAGAGAGCTCGTGGATGGGGCTCGGGGGGAGGAATAAGTACTTTTAAATTCTTTTTAAATGACAACTCTTCTTGCCTGTTAAATAAGAAGAGTACGCTCTTATTGTTTCATAAGTCTATTGCAATTGTATTAACTATAGTTAAGCAATTCAAAGTGGGTCAGCAGGCACATAGTAACATGCCAAGAAGTGGCAAAATGAACAGTCTCCTAATTGGGTTTTATTGTGGATTCACTGATTCACATTGAAATTGCCATCTCTTTTGTGATATTTCCAATAATTTTGTGGGAAGTATTTATAAAACTGCATTCTTTCAGTGGCATAAAGATTACCCATTTCCATAATTATTCTTGGTTATCATGCCACACTTTCTTTAGCAGATGAAAGGAAGTAGTAATCAATCTTCTGGAAAAATAAAATATTTACAGAATTGGAAGAGCTATTTCGTTGTGAACTCGGAGAAGAATCATGCATTCTCTTCAATTCTTTCTTTTCAAAATTCATGCCTAGTAAGTATGTAAGCTGTTTCCACGATGATATTAATGACTCAGACATGTGACTGCAATGTTTTTGTTGGTGTGATTTGGCCTTTAGCCAAATGGCTGCCTAAAGACCCTGGTTAGTGGCCATGACTGGCTGCTAAGGGACAATGAACTGGACAGAAACACCCTTTCATTCCAGCCCAGTTCCCTCGTGTTACGTGACTACGGTAACGCTCCCTTATCCGCATGTCACATGTGCCCAGATCCCCAGTGGATACCTGAAAACGTGGATAATACCAAACCCTAGATACACTGTGTCTTTTCCTATACATAAGTATTAGAAGTATGACAGCAAAACTGGCACACATTTCTTTCTCCTTCTTACAATTTCATGGATAGATTTGTTCTTACCGTGGATCTTAGCAACCTTAACATACGATTTTTCTTCTTTCCCTATTAAGTTGAGAACTTTCACCTTTTCACTCAAAGGGAGCGATCTCTGGCTTCTCTTTAGCATATCTGAATTGCCAACATCACTACTCTTGCGCTTTGGGGCCATTATTAAGTAAAATGAGGGGTACTTGAACACAAGCACTGCAATACTGTGAAAATCAATCCGATTGTCAAGACAGCTACCAAGCGGCTAAGGGGTAAGCAGGTAGCGTACCCAGCCTGGACAGGCTGGACAGAGGGATGATTTGTATCCCCAGCTGGATGGAGCAGGACATCATGGGGTTTCTTCATGCTACTCAGAATGGTCCACAACTTAAAACTTATGAATTGTTTATTTCTGGAATTTTCCATGTAATATTTTCAGACCACAGTTGACTAGGGTAACTAAAACTCTGGAAGGTGAAACCACGGATAAGGAGCAACTACTGTGTGTCCTGCCCTTTGCTCAGCTAACGTGGGGAACAGCTGTTTGAACTTTTCAGTGCGGGCCGAGTAGTATCTCTAACGTGTTATGTGTTTGACTGAATTCTCACCTGACCAGGCCTTCTTTCTCAGTCCCCATTTCCTGCTGCTCTGGCATCGTTCTGGTTGATTCCTCAAGATTTTTAGGGTCAGAGTTTGTGGGCAGATCTCTGAGGGAGTTTTTCTCAGAGCTTGTATCTATGGAAAGGAAACAACATACAGATAGAAGAATATACACCACTCTTGATACAGCCGTATGGGACAACATAAGCTACAGAGATGCTATTTGTTTTTCTGGAATGGTTTTCTCAGGATGGCCTCCCCTAGGATTCCTGCTAAACCAATTAGGACCTGATGCCGGAGGAGTTATCCTGGAGACACCTTCCAACTAATGAAAAATATACTTAAGTTGGTATATTATGTAGTAAAAGTCTACATGGTATATTTCTTTTTGATATTAGAAAGCTGAGATTAATAAGGAGTCATCATCCAAAAGGCATTTTTGGTTCTGCTCAAGTACTCATAATTTATGGCTGAAATTGATGTATCATAAAATTCAGAAAAATAAAATGGGCAGAAGTATGTCATTGACATTTTAGAATTTTGCATTCTAATTTTTTAATGAAAAGTGTTTGTTTTTGGTTTGATCATCTTTAGCTATGGCATCTTTTTTGAAGAAGCAATAAAAATTCACATGAATTAGCTTCATTTTCAGTCCCAAAATGAAATTTTGCCCTTCAAGGCTAAAATACAATTTCCAATTAATATAGTTTAAATTGTAATTTACTCAGAGAATAATCAATTCTCAGGTAAATATTTGGATTATAGAGAAGATTTTAATGAAAGTAAATTACTTAATATAAAAAGAAAATATAGAAAGAGCAATGAAATACAATGAACACAATTTAATAGTAATCCATTATCCATAGTTTCTAATCTATTTTTAATTGGATGTACTGTGCATAGAAAATTGAAATCAAAGCCAAAATCATAACTTTTATTTTATTGTAATACATTATAATTTTAAACACTTAAGGCACCTCAGTATTGAAAATCTGGATTTGCAAAAATAATAAACCAGGGGATGATCACTTACTTTACAAAAGTTTTCACCATACAAGTCCTTTAATATGAAAATTTCTATGATCCATCTAAAATCTTTCAGTGTACAAAGCTTTTCAAGAACATGTTTCAGGAATAAACGGAATCATAAAGTTGAGTCACTACTTACAGTTTTTGAAAATTTATGAATAAGAAAGCTTAACCCCCTGGATTTCCCAAGACTATTTTCTTCATGTGCATCTCCTATCTACCTTTATTTTGGAATTGATAGTAATTTTGGCTAGAAGGTAGGAAACACGGTAATATGCATCTTTTTGTTATGTGTAAGTGACTTGCCCCACCCCCAAATTCCCAAATTTACTTGAGACACAAACAAGTTTCACGGTAATCATGTCCTTGAAATCTGTTGGAAGGACCATATCGCAGGTGAAACTTTGCCATGTGTGTGAAATCTGATGAGAGCGGTAGGATAGGTCCTTTGTATACAAGCACATGTGGTACACTGGTGGGTTTATCAGTATCCAACAGATTTCAGAGTAAAAAAATAGCACTTTCAATATGTCATTTTATACCAAGAGGCTTTTGATAGAAATAAGAGAGAAGGCTCTATTTTCCCTATCTGTTTGGGTCGAGCCATTTTTTCTCATTTCTCTTTATCCAACCAAAAAAAAAATAATTTTTCAGATCTCTGACATTGTGCCAAGTCTTGCCTAAGAAATTGACAGCCGGGTCCTTTTCTTGTATCCACAAACACTGGGGCAGTTACTGTGAGGTGTTTTAAAGCAGTGTTCTCAATCTCTAGCCATGGATGGCCAGTGCCTTCAACGACTGGAGCCCTTGAGACTGTGTGTTGTCTATGCACATTTTCCGTGGAGAGAACCTAGGGTTAACACGAGCTCATCAAATGAGTCTGGACTGAAAGAAGAGCTAGGAACCATTTTCTGCACGTGTATTTTTCCAGGAACACCTGCCCTCAAAAGAAAATTAGGATTGAAATAGAGCATGAAATATGAGGGAAAGAGTCAGAAAAACCCCTCCTGAATATAAAACAAGTGGAATCTGCCAAACAGAATATTTCTCAAGAGGCTCGTATCGACTATTTCTGATAAAGGCACGTGAGTATAACTTGTGTCATACACTCCTAGCGCTCACTCAAGCCCCAGCATGCATATCCCATTTGCAAGACCTCCTTTCTGCTAGTACCAATTTCTTGACCGACCGTTCCTCAGTAGTTCTTTCTTTCCATTCTAATAAGGATTTTTTTTATCATCATAACATTTCGATTAAACTAAGTAGATCCTTGCACCTTACCAAGTCTTCTCTAGACATTACCGAGCCCTTCTAAAATGACGCCACCTCTATTATGACAAGACGGGGCTATTTAGAAATTAATTACAGCCTAATTTGCTTGTGGATAAGCATTTTAATTACAAAATAAATCCTAATCAGAGCTTATTGATGAAGATGAGAAACCAGTTATTGCCTGTTCTTGGATTCAAAGCAGAACAACAACTTAAAAAATACCCACGAGGACTTCAAACAAAAGGATCCCCATCAACTGTCGTCAGCGGGGTGTTTTTTCATCCGTGTAGGATGTTATTTGTTTGTGGGAACAGATGGTCAGATTGTTTGCATCATCCTGAACATGAAAGAGACATCTAAAATGCACGGCCAGTCTTCCTCTGGCATCTGAGTCAAGTTTTGTCAACTGCACATTGTACTTCTTCCCAGCTTCACACATGGGCAGCAGGATTCCCTCTTTTGTGGCTGCCCAAATGAAGAGTGTGAGGGTTTCTGCCAACTGTGCTTTTTACCTGTTGTATAGCAATTGCCAGCTCTTATCAGTGCCCTGGGTCCAATTCTGCCCTGGAACGTGTGCCCACGGCAGGTAGTAAAATCTGGAACCAGAGTGTTCTCATGTGGTTGCTTTTATCGACCATGCAAGAGCAAGTACTGAGTTTTCCCTCCACACACGTGCTGAGTCTCTTTTCAGCCTGGCAGCATCTCACTCTGCGCCTCTGTAACACACTTCCAAACCGCGCGGCCCCCTCGTCCCAGCGTGTCGTGGAGAACTTCACAGGGGTGGAATGCCTGCTTTCCTCTTCAAGTGAGGAAATAGGTGATGCAGGAAGCCATTAACTTCCCACATTTTATCAGTGGCACTAAATAATTGCTTGAAAAGGAGGGATTCAAAGAAAGAACCTAATTTGAGAGCAAGGTTGTGAATAAGAAGGCATTGATTCAATTGGCCTTTTTTGGATGGATATAAAAAGGAGAAGATTTGAAAATGCTCTCATTGGTTGGAATGTTTGGTGCAGGCGATGATATCACTTGGTTGAATTTCTAACTCTTAAAACACCAAATGCATTGTGGGCTCTGTCGCAAAAACAAATCTCCCATCTCCTTTTATTAGTCACCAACAATACCTGAGTAACTAGATATTCGATGAATTTATAAAGACTAAGTCTGAGTACTTTGATTAAATGCACAAATGATACTATTATTTTATCTGAATGAATGAACATTTGGAGGTAAATCAATGAATAACACAGTTTTAAGAAGTGTATGATTAATGATTATTTTCTGGCACATTGAGATTGTATTTTTGACTCAGCTTGTGGTTAATTTTGCAGTTGCTAGAATATGTGATGTTCTTAGAATAACTTTAATTATAACACTTTGATGACTCTTGAAAGTTTTTTATATCTTTATAGATTGTCAAACGACATGGAAGAAGTTGACAAACATCATAGCAGTGCATATAAAACGGAATCTGAAAGAGCTCCCTGAAATGCCACAGAATAGAGAAATGAAGTCCTTTATGTTAAGAAGTCCTCATGCAATCTGTAAAAACTCCAGAGGAGAAGGAGTCAGAGTGGGTGAGCGTTCTGGAAACCATCCCAATGAGGAGTGGTGGAGGAACTTGGGTTCTTTAGCCACAATATTGAAGACTAACTAATGGCCTAGCAGTTCTTTCAAATTCTTTGAAGGCTGTTACATAGAAAAGAAAGAGACCTACTTCCTTTGTTCCACAAGGCAGAAGAAGGATCCCTCGGTGGAATTTGCAAAATGAACAAATAAAACCCCCAACATTCTCCCAACTAAACTTGTCTGAGAGGGAGACGCATGGCTTCATGAGGGAGTGAGAGCCCCATTGCTGGAGGTATACAGGCTGGAGCCTGTGCTAAGGGAGGTAGGATGGGGTCCTTTCATCAGATCAGAGGTTGGAGGTCCTTAATGTGCAATAAAGTCCTAAAAGGATTTTTGTATTTAGCCAGACTTTTTTCCTTTGGGATGCCTCATCACAAGTAAAGAAATGAACAGATGAACAAACATAAAAGAATACAGACCCATCTAGGGTGGCCTTGGTACTGTGTCAGTGTTGAGGAATCCTGTCCTCTCTCAATGTCATGCTTGGTTTCAGGGACTTTTTATGGGGATTAATTCATCTAGAAAATACATTTTATGTAGGAATTAAGGGATGTGCTGAGTTACGGTGCTGGGCACCCAATAGAGAGCCCTAATCCTTACATCCCTGGTTCTTTGGGTGACTCTGAGTAAGTCGCTTTTCTATAACAGTTTCCTCATCCATAAAATGAGAAATACTTTTGTCATGGGGATTTCTGCGAGGATTAGATAAAGACTCCATTTGAGAAAAATGCAATATAAACACAAAGTGTTCCACCAGCCAGACTGCGGTAAATTATCTATTTTTTGAAAAAAAGATTTATCAACTCTTTCAGGTCTGTACAGCATTGATGTATGTGGAGCGTGCACGAGCTTCTGTTTACTTAAGAGGGTTCCCAGGATCAGGAAAGCAGAATGCAATTCCCCACAAATCACCTACAACCTTTAGCAGAAAGACGCCTGAAAAGATAGAGTTTGATTTAATTGAATTATGCAAATATATTTAAATCATGCACACTACAAAAAAATATGGCATTTTATCAAAAACAAAACAAAACACCCCACCCTATCCACATTGGTTACAGTCTCTTAAGATTTTGGTTTAAAAAACAGGTGGAAACTGAGGAATTTTATCAACCAAAGTCTGGTCTTCCACTTGATACTTAAAACAGAGTAGGGTTTGTATGCCTCACTTCTTCCTTCAGGTGGTACAGCTCTCCCCACCTCTCTGTCTTCAGCGAGGCAGCACTCTGCTGTGTCATAGGCAGGAATGGTTACTGACTGTGTGCCCAGCTGGGCACCTGACCTGAAGAGGGTGGCGGGTCCTCAGCTGGCTAGTGACCTGGCCGTGGCATGAAGGGCTCTGCTCAATGGGAACAATGCTTGTTATCTAGGACAGTCAAGCTGCTCTATCTGGAATTGGGACTGGGAAATAGAGGAATAGTAGAAACAGGGAGAAACACAGCAGACATGAGAAATGGCGGCCATGTT